AAATTAATATCAGATGTTTCTTCGTTATTAATAGATTACAGCATTGAGAGCTTGAGCTCTCACCAAATGAAATTGATGTTTATTGCGTACAAGATCATCCATTCATTGTCCCATTCTGGGAAATAAGACATATACTGTCTGTCTGCCTTTTGTATCTTTCTTTGAAGAGAGTAATACATTTAAAAATGAGTTTTATAAGCTTGAAGTGAATAAAAGATGAGCTGATGCTGCTGAACAGTGACTCAAAGTGAAGCAGAAGTGGTTTAGATTTTGAGTATGTCATGATGAGTAGCCTACGTAACTAGTTTGCAATATAAGAATCTAGAAAGGAACTGATTTTAGAAGGCAGTTGGCTGTGATTTGCTTGTGCATGTTGTCAGTGATTTTTTTAATTGTTCAGATTTAGTTCAGTGTGCTGGTTTTATTTTTCAGCAAAAATTGTTCAGATTTATAGCTTGTCTTGAAACAGATGGTTTGTTATATCATAGCTGTAACATTTGTTCTAAATGTACACTGTAAAAAATGACCGTGAATTTAACGGTAAAAGACTGTAAAAATGCTACAGTAAAAACCTGTTAAATGGTTAACGGTAAATTCCCCTACTATATACGGTGAAAAACTGTGTTGGACATTACATGTATTGGAAATTAATTGTATTAAGCTGTGAGCAGAGCTGGATACATTCACTCATTTCTAATTTCACATTGCAAAGGGTTTCTTAAAAGTGCTTTCTGGAGACTGTGGTTAATAAAAAGTTGTCCAATGGCTTTAAATCACAAGTAACATTCATCAGTTTGATGAGAGTAATTTATAAAGTGTTTGTTATTAGTTTCTTGTTTTCTTCTGATCAATGTTTTCATGTATTGCAGCAGGGTCCTCTGCAAATTCATGTTATTCAAGCACAAAAGGAGCAACCAATGACTTCTCCAAAATGGACTCGGACTATGACAAGTACTCCACTATATGCTATCATCCCGAAGGGGAAGGAAGTCCGTCGTCCTCTGTGGCTACGGGATCCTTTAACCTGCGTTACGGATCGGGTCGAGGGAACGAGGCTCTGTCGGTCTACGGAGGCGCTGGGAGCATGAATGTGTCCTCCACCATCTCATCAAGCCTGCCTAAACCTGGAGACCCCGGAGCTCCGCCGCTACCCGAGGAGCCCGATATGGACGTCCAGGATATAGATGCTGCTGTCTGTGGAAGTACAGGAAGTAGCGGGGATGCTAATTTCCAGCCGCTGCGCTCACGTTCTTTGTCTCCGATGTCTCACATGTCGGAGCGCAACCTTTCGACGCATTCCATCAATGTGTGAGATGCAGAACATTCTCCAAAACAACAATGTAGAACTGAATTTTACTTCATTTAGTTAACACTTTACTTAAAGCCTTTATTTATAATGCACTAAAAAGGTATTCATAATGCATGTTGTAATGCATTGTGTCATTTCATAAATAATTGTAACCGAGTTAAAATGCATTATAATATTTTAATACTTTCTAAAGGTGTAACAATGAATAGAAATGCATTGTATTATAACTGTGGTTGCAATTATTCATGAAATCATGCAATGCATTATAAGGTGCATTACAAGGCATAATTAATGCATTAAAACTAAGGCTTCAAGTAAAGTGCTATTTTTAGAATTTTTAGAAATTAGAATTAACTCAAACTGGGCAGTGGGTTTTTAGTTCCCTGCATGTTTTGCATAGGGCTGGATCAGGACAGTAAATGTTGCTTATTTGATAGGAGAGTAAAATGTGTTATTCTGAGTAAAGGGAAAAACCTGTTGGTGTTTAATGCTGTTATGCTGACATTTAAAGAGTTTCTATATTGTGTTTTTGTGGTTACCATTGTGCTGAAGAGTAAAGCTTGTGGTTAAGTTGTGGGTGGATCCATGATTTAAGTTTTATAGTATGTTGTTCCACTCAATGAGCAATAATGCTGATGTGATATAACATCAGTGTAGAGTTGTTCACTGCAAACATTTGCTATGCTGACTACAGAAAGTGTTTTAAGCATACAGTAAAAGTCAAGAGTTCCTATTACTCACTTTTACAAGTAAACAGTTGTGTAACTTACTGACAAATGTTAGACTTTAGGTAGAGTGCTGTTAAAGGAACACTCCACTATTTTTGAAAATAGGCAAATTGTCCAACTCCGCTAGAGTTAAACAGTTGAGTTTTACCCAGCGCCTGAAAATAGGCTTATTGGAAGTTACTATTTTCAGGCGCTGCGTAATATCATTGCGCCTGCTGCACCCATGGTACGGCAGCAAAGTTCCTTGATTATTACGCCGGAATGAGAGTCATTTTCTAGCCATATCGGTCTAGAAAATCACAACTTTTCATTTTCCGTCAGTCTTAGTACACGATGTAACTACAGAAGAGTCAAGTTTTAAATAGGAAAAATTAGAAACTCTTTGGTCATTTTTGAGTGAGATGCTAACGGTCTAATCAGATTCAATGATCTATGCTAAGCTACAGCTAAAAGTGCTACCGCCAGACGGTGAACGGTAAAACTCAACTGCTTAACTCTAGGGGAGTTGGAAAATGAGCCTATTTTCAAAAATAGTGGAGTGTTCCTTTAAATGTAGGTAGTTTTGGGTGGATTTTACATGGGATTAAATCTACCCAAACAAATTGAGTGTGAATTGCTACCTCCGTTTCATTCTGGAATGGATCAGTTTGTACAGTGCCTTACTGAGGATCCTTGAAATAATGTAATGATAAAATATTTTTATTGGGTTCATAAAGGGACAAGAACAGCATTAAAATACCAAGTGAGTCCATATGACTGCATTAATGCATTACACATCAAGCCTAATGAAGCTTTGTGTGTGGAACCCATTGAAATTTAGGTCACTGTTCACTAAAAATCTTGCATAACAGTCATGGTCACCATTCACTTCCACTCTACAAAGAAGAACAGTCTGAATATTATGCTATACTAGGAAATCATGAGGTTGAGTGAATTATTTTATTTTTATTTTTAACTTTTAAATATGTGTCCCTTGTGCATTTGCTGTCAGAGCACTCACTGCTCACACAGCTCCAACAAGGAGCATCTTTCTGACGGGGTCAATGATAGCAAATCGAGCATTGGTATTAAGAGTAAATGGTATTAAATTATGTCATTATGATAATAATGATGATGTGCATTGTGTTTATATTTTGTTAAACAGTTATATAGTCATATATAGTTACAGATCATCAGCTTATAGCTATAAAAGTGAGGCACCTTTAGGTGGCTTTAACTACTATGTACTAACATTAAATACATACAAGAATATGGATTTATTGTGTAACTGCATGTTGTTCTGGAAAATTCCCACTTTAACTGCTAATGAGTTTGAAGTCTGGGAAGGTTAGGGTTAAATGCAAGTACTTTACATGTAAAGTACCCCACCTAATATAAAGTGTTAACACTTCATTTGATAATTTGATTCCATACAAATACAATATGGGGGTTTCATATTTGATCATTATAACCAACTGATCTGTGCAAAACAAAGTTTTATTTGTACACTTGTTCGACACAAATGCTAAAATATGTTAAATGTGTTAAAACACCTTAAAGGTTAACTACACTTAAGGAAGAAAGAACCAGCTTCCAGTTTTTTATGGACTGTCAACACAATTTTATGAAACTGTCAGCTTGGAATTCTGAAGATTGGTTTTGCCACCAGCCATGCTTGTGACATTTCAGTCAGCATTATGTTCGAAAAACAACATGATGAATTGAAAAGCAAGTTTAAAATGATACAGGAACTTGTTAGGGCTTTTCACACTGTGTTTAACCCGGGGTTATCGTCGTTCCGCGTTTGAGCAGGATTAGCACCGCTTTTAAGCTTCACACGGTGCCAAACGTGAAAAGTGTGAAATAATGCCGTATCATAATGTTGCAGTTTTTAGAAATTTTCAACAGCTTTGGTTGCGGCTAGATGCTATAACATGCGGGAAAATGTGGTGAATGAAACCGCGTCAACTAGAGTGAAGAAGAGACCGCTTAATTCTTACCTTACAATCCGTCCATTGTAGAAAACTTGATAATACAGTCGGCAACACAGCCTATCCACCAATTTCTTCAACGCGGAAGTAAGCCTATGGGTAAGACTTCCGGTTCATTAGCTGCTATAGGTAAATAACGAGGAGAATAACAACGTGCAGTAAACGGTAAAACTGTTTGCACTACAAACCAGTGTGTTCATAAGATAATACATTAAAATAATTTGATAAGACACACCAACTTTCAATATCAAGCAGCAAAACGAACTGTTTTGTACAGCTAAAAATAGCTGGAAGCAGATGAGACCGGAAGCCAGACCCATAGAATTTACAAATGGCCGCGCCCATTTTTACGACAAGAAAAAGGTGGATAATACGAGACCCAATGCATAAACAGGTCAAGTGCTGCGTTCGTCCAATCAATGACACTGACTCCATAAATATGCAAATAAGAACATTAACCCGCAGTTAGGAATGTGTGAAACGTCAATTCATGAAAACACAGTAGCCTACTATTAACCCTGTGTAAATTATGAGCAGTGTGAAACATGAGGCAAGATAACCCAGGTTTATATTTCAAGTGTGAAAGCCCTTTTCGCAGCTTGGTTGACTTCACTCACTATTACAAAATGTGTTACAAATATGTTCAAGAGAATTATTTACCTCTCATTTAAAGATGAGACATCATGTAGGCTAGTTACTGCAGCATTTTCTTATTTTTTATACTTTTACATCCACACCCACAAGTAGTGGCAGACAAATGAAGTGAATGCTGCACAACCTGCTCAGAAATGTTTTATCTGCATATTATCTGATGTGCGGCAAAAAATGTGAAATTATCTGATATACCTTTTAGCAGCACTTCAACTTGAAGACGAGCTCTGGTTCTACCAGTTTGAAAACTGCGAGACAACAGCTTCAGTTCCTCAAAAAAAAAAACCTGTGTGTTAAGTGTCAAGTCAGTCCGTCGTCCTGATTTCAGAGTGAGCTGGCACAATGTCTGACAGAGAGCATTTTTTGTCTGGTGGTCCAAATAATCACCCGGCATGCCACAGAACAGCTAAATCACAGGTGGACCCTCAGTCTGTGGAAAACTTCAGGAGAAAACTGAAATATTTCTTCATGAGTCCATGCCAGAAGTACAGAGCCAGAGGTCGTAAGCCGTGGAAAATGATGCTGCAGATACTCAAGATTGTCATAATTACCTTCCAGGTATGGGATTTACTCCTGAACTACTGCCTTTTGAATGATCAATATAAGTTAGTTTAATGCTGAAATCCATGGTATTCTAAATATTTACTCTTAAGTAATCAGTTTTTAGTAGTCTGTTAGCTGTAGTCTGCCACATCAGGAGAACCTTTTAAGTTACACAGATTAATTCAATAACCAATGAAAATCCTTTCATTTTCAGAGTGCATTACATTTAATATGTAGTAGTTTCTCATGCGTCTCACCATCCTTAGATTTCAATTGTTTCGTAAAACTGGAAATATGACTGTGACCATGTGTCTTATTTCAAAGCTCAATTTCACACTTCATTTACTGTCAATTTGTTAGTCTAGATAAGCTGTTCTTGATGATATTGTTTATAAAATTGATTATGATCTGCCTGCGTGTCGTATTTGTTCCACAGTTAGTTTCTTTTGGGTTGAGCAATGAGATGATGGTCACCTTCAAAGAGGAAAATATCATCGCCTTCAAACATCTTTTCCTGAAAAATTACCAGGACAGAAATCAAGATTATGCCTTGTACACAAGACACGAGGTTCATGACCACATCCTGTACATAATCAATAGGGTAAGTGCTTTGGATTACACTGTAAAAAAAATTTTCGTAAAATTTACAGTAAAAAAACAGCAGCAGGAATTTTACCATAAAAAATACGCTAGCAACATTTTAGGTGTTACTAACCGTACTAATACCGTAATTTCATTAACTGATATACTGTTAATGTACCAACCTATTGAAGTACTGAAATCTGTTTTGTACCTTTGTAATACACTGATAACCACCAAATACAGGTGGTGATGAGAAAGTCACATGATGAACCAAAGCCCATCACAAGCAGCTTTTAAATAATAACATATATAGAAGGTGCACAGTGTCATTCACACAAACACTAAACACCATCATGGTAACACACATGAAACTGAAATAATGCAATAAACATTAATTTAACAACATTAGGTGTAACACACAACCCAAATATACAAAACTGATAAGAAAAAAACTAAGAAACATAGTTATTTAAA